GGAGACAGCATGGCAGACAGAGACACACACCCTGTGTCTGTGAGAAAGAGAGAGATGTGCATTGCCCCTTTAAGTATGCTGACCCCACTCTAAGTACATTGCCTTTAAAAAAATCAGGAAGTTGAGACAGCAGCTGCGGCCAGCAAGCTCTCTCGGTCCTGAGCCCTCCTGTCCCCACCCTGCTCTATATGGAGAAGGGGTAAGCAGGGGACAGGAGTAGGGGGGATGGGGATACCCTGAAATTAGCCCCCCGCTTTCCCCCTCCCTTGCACAGCAAGCAGGAGGCTCCGGGGAGCAGCTCCAAGGCAGAGGGCAGGAGCAGTACATGGCAGTGGGGGGAGGGACAGCTGAATTACCGGCAATTGGTAGCCTGCTGGGCGGCTGCTGCACAGGGAACTTAAGGGAGCGGGGAGCTGATGGGGGGCTGCTAGTCCACCCTGGTTCCAAGCCCCCACCTGCTAGCTGCAACGGGCTGCTCTTCCTGCAAGCAGTGGACAAAGCAGGCGGCTGCCAAACAACGTTATAAGGGAACATTGCACAACTTTAAACAAGCATGTTCCCTAATTGATCAGCAACGTAACAACGAAACAATGTTAACCGGGACGACTTTAAGTGAGGAGTTACTCTATTACAAATCAGTGTCAGAATGCTATCAGTGTACATTTTACTAATGATTGCTGCTCAGATGGATATAAATGCATGCTGCGATTTATATTCAATCTTGGTTGATGAAATTTCTCCAGCATATTCCATCTTTTCAGGGGCAGCAGCCTTATCTTCTTTTCACTCAAATTTGGGCCATTTTTTGGAAGACTTACTAGACTGTAGTTTGCAGTAGTAACAAACTCGTTTTTTAAGCCACAGGAATAGAGGCTGAATGATTACACCACCAAACATCCTTTCCTGAGCGAGGCAAGGAGTGAGATATCAAAGAACTATAATCAAGAGGATTACAACATCTGCATAATTCAATCAGAACTGGCCTATTCATCTCACTATAGCAGCAAGTTGACATCCACAGTGCACAAAACATGTTTACTCTCTTGAACTCACTGCTTGCGAAATTTGCAAGCAGTGCACAATAACTGTTCAGTCTTTAGAATGCCTGCACTAGTGACACAGCAAGGTTTATGGGCGCAGTAAAATATGACTCTCCTCTTAAATGCTTAGGAAGCACAAACCGCACTTTTCCTGTTTTGGCTCCTAAAAAGAATTGTCAGAAAGATCAACATTTCCTTTTTTTTGTGCCATTCAATAACACAGCGCACACATATTTCGAGAATGTGTATATAAAAAGAATACCTACCCTACAATTTGATTAAAATACTTCCTGTAGCCGTCTAAAGTTTCGTGCTGCAACAAAGAAAAGTGAACAAAGTTTAAAACAAAGAAGGGCAGTAAAATTGGAAACAAATAAGAGACCACACACATGCAACAATATGTGCAGAGATAATGTGCTGCTCCTTTATTAGGCAAAGCATCTTTGATCACTAAAGCTATTAGACAGTCATACCATATTTGAGGGGGGCTGAAGCACCAGTCTAGCCTGTTTTCTTCTCTGTTTCCTGTAGTAGTTCTCAAAGGTTTCTCTGGCACCCTGAAAAACAGATCAAATGAAGTCAAGTTCCTGGCCTTAGAGTTAACCCCAATCACCTCCACATAAAACTGCTGCTTTTACATGTTAAAAGTTGATTTACACCATTTTTTTCTGACCTCGGTGTCAACATTCCTTTAAAAAGCTTGATTCAAATACCAGTTTGTCCTGGATATTTATATAGGTAACTATTTTGGCATAAGTATTTCTGAAGAATCCTGCTGTGTTCACAGACACACAGACGTCCAACACTACTGTGCAGCATTTCTGTGTGCATTGATGTCTGCATAGCACACTTACTGTACTGCAGTGCAAATAATAGAATGTCAGGGTTGGAAGGGACCTCAGGAGGTCATCTAGTCCAACCCCCTGCTCAAAAATCCCCAAACAGATTTTTACCCCAGTTCCCTAAATGGCCCCCTCAAGGATTAAACTCACAACCCAGGGTTTAGCAGGCCAATGCTCAAACCACTGAGCTATCCCTCCCCACAATAGTTCTATCAGATTTTGCACACTTAAAAAAACCTAGGCATGGTGGAAAATGAAACCATTTCAAGAGAGAACAAGCAAACATTTTGTGAGAAGGAACAAACAACGCTGGAGAAAGGTTAGAGACACTTATAAGGCCCTCACCACCATTATATCTGAGCACCCGCAGTAAAACCCAGACCTACAAATAAATCTAGGACTAGAGCTCTGGTCCTACAGTTCTATAAACACAGGCCTCTCCCACCTGACACAAAGGAAGCTACCTCAGTTAAGCTACACAGGGTGAGTGGTTTCCCCTTCACTAGGGAACTTAAGGCATTTCTATTTTTTTATCATTTGGTGACTGCTTCGTCTTGGGCATCTTGTCCACATCCAGGAGTGTGGCCATCCAGTCAGCCTAATAAACTTCTGAGCATCCTCAAAATCCACCTTATTGAGGCATCAAGACATCCAAATTCTGCCCAGGTTATGTGGCTACTGCGGCACCTTATTGTTTTATCCCTCAGTATTCCTACCTTACTCTGTTACCACCCTCCTCTCCCCACCTTCTTACTGTTTCACATCTGAAATTGGATTATAAAATCTTTAGGGCAGGGACAGTGTCTCAATTTGCACTTTAAAGACCAAACTTTTTTTTTTCAGATGCTGCACAAAACAAATAAAAACGACTCCTAAGTATTTTTAGTCTGCTCCATGCACAACAAGAGACTTGGGTCTTTTTTGTTTAAATGGAGAAAGTGAATTAAAAAGCCCAACAATTGTTGCTATACTTCCCACACATAAACCTCCTCCACCTATTATTGTACAAACAGAGGCTGAGTTAACAGCCCCTTTATTAGAAGGTGCTCAGGAAATTTCTGCCGTTAATATTTCTAGCAGTGCAGTCACACACACTCCCCTCCTTTGTGTGTAGATTACGGAGCTCCAGCAGTTTAGGTAAAATGTATTTCACTGAGTGGCCCCTCCAGATATAGTCACCCATGTGCTCTGTGTACCTAGATCTTGGAACACCGTTTTTTCACGTTTGTAACATTGGCTCTCTTTGTTAGAACATATGCAATGCCTTTGTCCTTACTGAAGGTCAAAAGGCAAATTCAGACTTGGTATAAGCTAATTCAGACCTGGCTTAAGCTATGGCAAATCCCCTGAAGTCAATCAAGTCGTTCCACTTTGTACCAGGGCTGAAATTGGTTTTAAGTCAACAGCAAGTTTGACATTTTAAAAAGAAGCATTAGGAGCCAGAAGCTGTTTAAGAATAGCCTTTCCCATGTCCCTCCCTATCTCGCTTCTGACATTACGGCCATCTGACCCCTCATCGTATCAGCTGGGGTGGGAGAACAGGATTGCAAGTCAGGGATTCACAGACTTTAAGGCCAGAGGGGACCATCATCATCATCTGGTGTCTGACCTTTTGCATAATACAGGCCAGAGAACTTAACCAAGTAACTTCTGCCTGCATGAAGTTGACAGCTTCTGGTTGAACTTTTAGAAAGACACCCTTAACACCCAGCACCTTCCTGCAAGGTCTCAGACCCCCCCCTTCCACCTCAACCAAGCTCCTTTGTGAGGATCAAAGCCATTTCTCCGCAGGCAGACTCCCAGTTTGACGATTCCTGCTTGTTATGTCATCAGTGTTAGAAACACCAGCTTCATAGTCGCAAGTGGAAAGAAACTACGGCAGGGAAACTCCAAAACTCAGTGTAAACTTGAGCAACTTTTTTACAATGGAATTTTCCCTTAGAAAGGCACCATCTGGGGATTTAATAGTACTAGCCTCCTTCTTAGGAACCGCAAATGGTGCCCCCACCTAGAGCGCTAAAAATCTTCAGACTTTTTAGCCCCGACTTGCATAATAAATACATTTACATTTGTCAGGCAATTGTTGCTATCCACTTCCTCTGACCTCCTGGTGACTGGGATGATAGTATTGAGACCAAGATTCTTGTCCCAGCTCCGCCACTGATTTGCCCCGCCACTTTAGGCATGTCATTTAACTTTTCTATGTCTCTGTTTCCACAATCTCGATTAGTGGCATAATAATGTTTAACTGCCTTACAAGGGGTGTTTGTGATGTGAAAAAGTTTGAGACCCTTGACAAGTGCAAATTATGGTCTTCTAAATGAAGAATCTTTGAAACAATTTCTACACCTCTCTGCATTTCCCCTATGCCATGCAGCAATTCAATGGCTATTATTCAATCACTTTTCAAGACCAAACCTCTCAACGATACCTTCATTATGGCCAGAGTTAGGTTCCTCTCCACTCCCCACAAATATGGCGCTTGTCTTTTTTTCTGTTGAATTTAGGGCTGCTGAAAGGTGCAGGACTGATGCTCCCTACTAACCCACATGACAAACAAAGCACCATCGGTAATAACATTAGCTCCTCCACACCACAGCCTCCAATGTGTCTTAGAGGTTGTCTAACTCATTCACCCCTTGGCTACTTTGCTGACACTGCCAATATGGGTGCAAATTAATACCTGATGTAGCAGTGGCTTATACGATTAGGATTTTGTTGACTAGGAACTGGCTTGAAATGACCAACCCAATTGGCCAAACTTAAATTTATTCATTCCAATAATAATTCATTCCAATTGGCCAAACTTAAATTAAAAAAAAAAAAGCTGTCATTACCAACATGGTCTGGATTTGAACTTATGGCCAAGAGTAGTGGTTAAAGGCTCTGTATCCCATTCCATTTCTATGACCCATTCTAGTCCTTTCACTTTTATTCTTATACAGAAATATACAGTCAGAAATGCAGAATCATGATCCTCAGATTACAATGTTCATTAGGACAAAATTTATTCCAGCTCATTTTAAGTTTCCTTTGCTAACCTCTCAACAGTTGTTTTATATCATCTCATTTTACATCTCTGCCCCATCTATGGGCCTTGCCAGGCTCAATTCTTTTAACAGAAGGTCCTGAATTGGCACAATGGGTGGTACAGACTCAGCTACACGACCACATCAATCATCCTCAGACCACTGCAAGACGAAGGCCCCCTTCAGTAAGATAATTGTCTATCTTGCTAAATGGTTAGGCAGGAACTTTTCCACAAACAACTAAAACAGGCTGTTGGCAAGAGAAAGTCTGCCTCTCTACTGACTACCTCCAAGGGTGAACCTACCAAAACTCACCTCTGACAGCATCATTCAGATTCTTGATTGAAACCACTCAGACTAACACGGAGCAGTCTCCTGTTAACACTGAATTCACAGAGCAAGCTCACACTAAATTCTAGTTTTTCCTTCCTGGAAAAATGTTTAGAAAAGCAACCTCAACTGACTGGGTGAGTTCCAGCAGTGTACAGCACCCTCTGGGAAGTGCAAACAGATGAGGTTAGGTGCAATCTTCAATGCGGAAGGGAACACACGGGATTTCTTCAGTCACTGAAACCAGCCACTGCGATTGCTTTATACAGAATCTTTTGAGAGTCAATTGGTGGTTAATTTCCAATTATTTCCTGTACACAGAGGTTGCCATCTCACCAAACAATGTAGGTGAGATTTTGAGGTGACCTCAAGGGCTTAATGGAGTCTTCAAATGCAAGTCACTAGGAGCACAACAGCAATTTGAAACTGGTCAAACATTTTAATGAGTAACTTATAGAAGAACTTAATCCACAATGAAGTTTCTGCTAGGAATGAGCCCCCAACCATTCAGTTAAAATAAGGCACACTTTTACTCATCCCTCAAGATGCACAGCTAAGAACTCTCCTTTTCCATACATTCCAAGGGAAAAGATGAGGAAAAGTCCCAGATATTGCCCTTATCCTCTCCTACCATTCCCCCAGCCACCTGTTCAAGTGCGCGTCTTCCATCTTCCTGGCATCCCATACCCCTTTTTGGTCAAGTCACATAGTGACTCCCACAATCTCTCTGCTACCTCTGACAAGGTCGCACTCTCATTGTGTGTGCTCTAGGGCATGTAATACACCTTGGGGCACTACCCTTCGAACATGCTACCTAGGCAATGGGGCTTTGCACAGAAGGTGCCTTTGGTGTAGAACCTCGCTGCAGGAGAGCACTAAGGAAAGCCTACCGCACTCAAAAGCCATCAGTGCAACCAAGCATCTGACTTTCCCCAACCCAGTGTTTGAAAGCTAAATTGCCAGCTTTGTTTTTTTAAATGTTTTCTATTTGTCTTTTATAAATCCTCTGCCCATCAGCAATTATTTTATAAAATAAAATAAGGGGGGGGGGGGCAGAGCTGTTTGTTGAAAATGAAATATTTGAGGCAGCTTTATAATGTTCCCACCCTTTCCTTCCAAAGTAAGCAGAGGTTAAGACTGATAAATGCTTTCCCTTTGGAAATCACTCCAGAGAGACTATGTGTAGAAGTGTTATTGCTTGACTTTAAAACCGAGTATTGAGACTTGGGGCTATATCATAAACTAGCCTCTCCATTTTTGAATGAAACCTCTTTATCCCCCGCAAACTTCTATACTTAGGATACTTCAGAAAGCAAATGCCTCCATGTTTCAATCTATCAAATGGCTTGAGTCCCA